GCGGGGCGCTATCTGCGCTTCCCTGGTGGGGAGGGAGGGAGCGCCCCCCGCTGCTCCCGCGGGCTCTGCCCGGGCTCGCCTGGGCCGCGGCTCCGAGAGCGGGGCCGGGGGAGCGGAGGGGGCGGCCCCCAGCCCCGGGCTGCTCTGCCCCCATGGGAATCTTCCCTTCCCTTTCCTTCCTTTCCCGTCCCTTCCTTTCCCTCCGCAGGCTGGAGTGGAGGGGGCAGGTCGAATTTTAGCGCTGTCCCTTTTTGCTGATCCTCCATTAGTGTAAACCAAGTAAGTCGCCTGGAGTCGGGGAAAGGGGTTTATCGATGCTTCCCGAAACTTCAGCCCCTTGCTCGGGAGGGAAGGGCCTTTGCTGTGGGGGCGGACTGGGAGAAGCGGGCAGAGCTGGTCCCACACGCAGCGTGCGCGCTGGGAGCGTTAGTTGCTGACGGGGAAAACTGCACAGAGGCGATTCCCAAAGAAGCTAGAGGAGAGGGGCGTTTATCTCCACATCTGTGTAGTGTAAAAGGCAACAATGATAGTCTTAAAGCACACTCAGGATGGATGAATGTTGATTTAATTGATTCATTTGGATCGATGTTTTCAAAGTTTCACACCACTGATCTTTCATGTAGTGATGTCTTTAGCAGCCAGAGGTCTGACATGAGCCTTCTCAGATTTCATCGCTAGGAAGCTCGGCGTCATCTGACACTGTGCAACAGCCTGTGCCGTGGGTTAACTTTGGGGCTGGGAGTCCAAAACTGGCCAAAAGATGGGACTGGAGCTGCAAGAGAATCACGAGCTTATCGTGGCCGAAAGCCTGAGATGAAGCTGAAATGCCATGTCTGGAGCAATGGGTCAACGAGAGTAATTTGTCCTCGCCAAAGAGAGGGATCAGGAGAAAAAGTCCTGCGAGGAAAACAGCCAGCCAACCTCCTCGTGAGGATCCTCAAACACAGCAGGGCTGCGAAAATAATAATAATAATAATAATTATTATTATTATTATTATGATGATGATGTCCCTCATCTGCGTTGTGCATACACTGCAATGCACTGATCACAGTCATCACTGTGTGATTCTCTGCGACTCAGTCAAAGGATGCTGCTTTTCATGGGAATGTGCATTTTCTCTGTCCCCGAGAAACATCACTAATTGTTTTTCCCTCCAGGAATTTCATTCAAAAGTACAAATGAGAAGTGTCACATCTAAAACAGTGTGGAGCCACATATTGCACGGTTCTCGAGTCAGCCAGCTAAAAATAACCTGCCATGCAATGTGTACAGCCAGCGCATACTTTGGTAGGACTAAGACTTACAGAGTTGTGAGATGTGTGTATGTCTATGCACACATTTGTAGATATCTGGATGTTATGGGGTGTGTGGGGGTGTGTGTGGGGGTGTGTGTGTGGTGTGTGTGTGTGTGTGTGTGTGTGTGTGTGTGTGTGTGTGTGTGTGTGTGTGTGTGTGTGTGTGTGCGCGCGCGCGCGTGCATGCACTTGTACGCGCATATTATGTTGACGTATTCGACAAAGTGTGAAAAATGTACTTCTCGGGAAACTTGGAGGGAGATGTCATTTATCATTGTACCATCCTAATACCACAAATTTTCACTTTTCTATTCCATTTTGGATTGCATGTGTTTGTGAGTATTTCACTAGATCAGTGACAGCTCTTTATTTGCATAATTATATGCTCTGGTCTGAAGAGAAAACTAACCCCCAAATTTCATGGGTCACCAAACTGCGACAATCAATGTTTTATCACGTATGCTAAGCAAAACCTAAGGAGCTATATGAAGTTTCTTGGGGAGTTTTTACTCCTCAGAAAATTAAAGATTTTGTGCCTCTTGAATAGATGCAAAATCTTTCCAAGCTCTTTGTAACTGAATTCCGTTTGAAGGCAGAACTAGAGATTAGCACGTAGATCTGGATTTCAAATGCACTAGCATTACTTCAAAGTAGAGTCAGACAAGCAGCTTTATTGCATCTCTAAATTTCACCGTTCTAAGTACTGTAATTTGAATGGAGGCAACAATAGAAAGTGGCCAAATGTGTAAAGGTAGACAATCACCCCCTCTCTCACCAAACCAGTAGTGACCAGTTCACTTAATTTCGTCCGTTCAGAGCGGTTTTATTCTTCTTGAGTGGGGGGGGGTCTCCCTTCTTGCCCCCCCGCCTTTCCATCCTGCCCCCATATGAAGCTCTAAGTATTCGATATAAATATGGACAAAATAATCTCCCGTGCTGCAGAATTTGTTCTGGCCCATCAGTTGCACAATAACCGCATGCCCCAGTTATGATACACGCTAAGTTTTGAACTCGATCAAAACACATTATCATGAGGAGGAAGGAATTTAGTGATACTAATTGACCAGCAGCAAAGCGGGTGACCCCCCCCCCCCCCACCAC